TTCCATTGAAAAAGTAATTTTTGTTCAAAATTTGACTTATTCTATTAGTGACAGATGTCAATTTATCAATTTGTAGTTAGGTTATGGAATTCATTACATCACTAGTTATAAAAAGAATTACGTCACATAACGTCTGTCCAATTTAGTTACCAGGTTTCTTACATTTATAGCTAACGACTTCGTTATGTAGGTACATAACTTGGTTTTGAATGAAAATCTTCTGGCGGAAAACGCATTGAATTCTGATGAGAAAGAACTCTACTATCGATCTATTGACATCGGGGGAGTTATTTTTCTGCTATCTAAAATGCCAACCTCTTCCTGGTATCGAAACGATTCCTTTTAATATTTTCCTAACATTATAACGTTCAAAAATATGGCGGATGTGGAAGCAATTTTCATCACGTATTAATGATGGATTGGATAACACTATTTTTTACACCGTATGGTGGTGTTTTAGTCTGAAATTTTGTCATCGATGTCATTTCATCAATAACACATCCTATGTAACATAACCTTCCAATGCTGCATATATTTCTAGATTCATTTTGATGAAACTTCTGGAAAAACTAAAACTTTCTGACATGACTTTTCCGTGATAAGATTCTTCAGAACAGAAATTAGAAATTAATACCTTCCTGAGCTTCTTTTAAATCACCAATGATGGTTGAAGTTTTTGAGCATTTGAGTTGACAACTTCCATAGTTACCAAAAGTACTTGGTTATCGTCATTCGATGGTTGACGTCTTCTAAGCTGGTTTTGAAACAAATAAGCCATTTCCTGCGTAGAATTTCCTGATTGTTCCATCGATCCTTTCTTGCAATGTTGAATTATAGTATGCTAATTTTTAATAACCAGTAAGATGCTAAGAAACGTCTGAAAATTATGCACCAACCTATGTTATTATAATTTAGTCTTCTTGGATTTAGTCTTCTTGGTCTTCTTCTCTTCGCTGATTTAACTAATGAAGCAACTCTAAAAGAGGATAGGATTTAATATTCTTTGAGAGAGTTTTTTTATTATCCTCTGTGTTAGTTCTATATTTGCATCTATCTTGCTTCTTTTTCATCTTTCTCAATCAATTCGTTTCAGTTCGTTTTTGTTTATCTTCATGTTGTTCATATTCTGTTTCGTTCTGTTTTGTATAGTGTCCAATTTTCTTGATTCGTATTTCGGAAGTATTTGACTGCTTCATTAGCTGCATTGGTGATGTTTCCTTTTAGACTTTTCCATTGTACAATCACGCTGTCTTCCGTGTTGATTAAGTTTTCCTTTAATTTTTTCTCCTAATCTATTTTCGTGCAACTGCTTCACACTTTCTTCTTCTAGAGACTTAATATTGAGTTTGTACATGTGTATTCTCATTTTGCAAAGCACCAGTTTGTGATAACTGCCTATGTTAGCTGCATTAAGTGTTATCGTTTTATTAATCATGATATAATCTATAACAAATTCTTACTTCCTTTTATTGTGCCATGATTTGTAATATTCTGTCACTGACATATTGTTCGTTATCTATGCACTTTCTACCATTTTTGCGGTTACAATTCCTTCGCAATCCTCTTCTTGCGTTTCGCAAGCTATACTAGTCATTGTCAGACTTGTTCTTCTGTTACCAACCTCTTTCCTCTCTTCTTCTTCTCTCACTAGCATCTTTCTTACCTTTATAGCTTCTTTCCTATATTCTTTCTTTCCTGGCGCCTTCTTATCTTGAAAATCTCTGTTAATTCATCTTCTTTTACTAATCCCCATCCAGCATTCTTTCTTTTCTGTGCAGTTGCCTTTCCATCTTTCAGTCAATATTCAGTTTTTTCTTATGTATATATCACATATCACTCTCTTTCTAGTCTTCCTCTTCCATTTTTAACGTCCTTTATAGCTTTATACTCTGTTTTTTTTTGCTTTTACAGTCTATTTCCAGTATCTCTCCTTTCTCCAAAATCTCTTTTCAGTCCGTTTAGTCTATTACTTTTGTTACCAGTAATCTTCTTGTTAGTTTTTATTTTTTCTTCCAGTCTTTTCCTTCTCTGTGTAGCATCTTTCTATCTAGTAGTGGTGGAACGGATATCTGGCAACTATCCGGTATCTGGCCTAACCTACAATTTTTTAAAATTCGGCCGGATATCTATTACTCCATCATTCACAGGAATTAGTATCTCTTACATCTTAATCTCTATCTTAATAACAGAACTGTCGTTGTTATCACTTTCGATTATTAATTAAAGTGTCATCTTTTTTTGAGAAATAAATTTTGGAAATAATCGACAATTTTTTCAAATTTTGCAATTTTCGCCGATTAAGTTTTAAAAATTCGTATAAAATCGATTTTTTTGGATATGAGTTTGAAAATTTCCCAAAGTGTTAATAAAAGTGTCCTCTTTCCAATGAACTAACCCGTTTTGAAAAATAACTTTTAGTTTTTGAGAAAACAATATTTGAAGTTTTGATAAAATTTTCGATGTTGAAATTTTCATCGATAACTTTCAAAATTCGCTATAAAATTAATTTCTTGAAGGATCCT